AAAAGAAGCCCGATTCAAGTGGAGTTTTTTTTAGGGGGAGTATCAATAAGCTAGACCCATGCTTCGGGTTGTTTCATGCCATAAATAAATTCGAACACTCAAAAAATCTGTTGGACAGGCCGATTCACATCTTTTACAACCAACACAGTCCTCCGTTCTTGGGGCCGAAGCAATTTGCTTAGCTTTACATCCGTTCCAGGGGATCATTTCTAATACATCTGTGGGACAAGCTCGGACACATTGAGTACACCCTATACATGTATCATAAATCTTTACTGAATGGGACATTTGCTCTCTCCATTTTTTTTAACGCCCTAAAGTTTCGATCTAGTCCATTTATAAATCCCAGATGAATCAATAATTTACCAGACTTTTTTTCTATTAAAAAATAAAAAATTCGGCTTGATTGCTTCATGAGATCGAACTAAAATACTTGAATTTATTACGTTTTCACAAACAAGATCAGATCTTAGATATAGTCTATGTCGAGTCGAGTTGAGAAATATTCAAATTTACATTATTAAATAGAATACTGGTAAACCTACTTATTTAACAAATTAGATTGATTGATACGAATAGATTTTCTATTACGATAAATTGAGGAAACAATAGCCAATCCAATAGCTGCTTCGGCGGCTGCAATAGCTATAACAAAAATGGAGAAAATGTTTCCTTTTAATTGTCGACTATCAAAAAAATCAGAAAATGTTACAAAATTGATATTAACTGAATTCAAGATAAGTTCAAGACACATAAGAGCTCTAACCAGATTTCGACTCGTGATCAATCCATACATACCAATAGAAAATAAATAACCACTCAAAATAAGTGCATTTTCGAGCATCATCTGCCAACTCCTTATTAATTAGTTTTTCCCTTCTTTCTGTTAATAAGAACAAGAATTCAATCCCAAGTCATTCGATTAACTAAAAATATCACAAAAGCTGAAAAAAAAATTGTTAATAAATCAAAGATTGGGAATAAATCAAATAAGATAATCTAATTTATAAATGAATAATCTTCCAATCAAATTTCAAATCAAATTGAAGTCAAATAAATGCGGTAATAAGCTATAAGAAAGTGGAATTTGGATTGGCATTTTTATTTTTAATTAGAAATTCTTTTTATTGACGAGCCATAGTAATGGCACCTATTAAAGCAATTAATAGAATTATTGAAATGAATTCAAATGGAAGAAAAAAATCGGTTGATAAATGAATGCCAACTTGTTGACCGTTACTTATGAAATCTTGCTCTATAATCTGATTTGTTCTTGTCGTCCAAATAATTCCATACCAGGACGTGTTCAGAATAACACAAATTAGTGAAACAAAAGTACTCGTACAAACTAAGGAAGTAACCCCATCTCCAACATTCCAAAGATTTTCAGCTTTGGAATATTCTGAACCATTCAGGAACATCACAGCAAATAAAATTAAAACATTTATAGCTCCCACATAAATAAGGAGCTGTGCAGCAGCTACAAACTGTGAGTTTGCTAAAAAAAAGAATAATGATATACAAACAAGAACCAATCCTAATGAAAAGGCAGCAGAAATTGGGTTGATAAGGAATACCACCCCAAGCGCTCCAAGCAGAAGACCTAATCCGAGAAAAAAAAAAAAAAATCATGTATTGGTCCAGGCAAATCCATTGTACGTAAAATTGGAGAAAAAAAATCAAATAGTTTTTTTTTCATGAACTTATTGACCCGACCAGGAAAAACCGAATTCTTATTTCTAGAATAGAGTTGTTCCTACCTAATTGGATTAAAAAAAATCCTAAGGGGTGGAAATTATTGCAAATATAAATTACTGCAAATCTTTAATTATTGGACTATTCTCAAAAATTATCCTTTAGTTCAAAACTACATTTTGGTTTAATAAAAGTAATTCAAAGTAATTCAAAACGGATTGTTTTTGAATCAAAATAAGTTTATTTTTTTTTTTCAGGTAAATTCAAAATAGTTCTAATTGTATAATCGTCAATTATTGATATTGGTAAACGACTTAAAGCAATTTGATTATAATTCAATTCGTGACGATCATAACTAGAAAGCTCATATTCCTCAGTCATGGATAAGCAATTTGTTGGGCAATACTCAACGCAATTGCCACAAAATATACAAATTCCAAAATCAATACTGTAATTAAGCAAGCGTTTCTTTCGAATCAAAGTTTCCCATTTCCAATCAACAACGGGGAGATCTATAGGACATACACGAACACATACTTCACAAGCAATGCATTTATCAAATTCAAAATGTATTCGACCGCGAAAACGGTCTAATAGGATGAATTTTTCATAAGGATATTGAAGTGTTACAGACAACCGATTTGAATGCGATAACGTAATAAAGAAACTTTGACCAATATACCTTGCAGCGCGTATGCTTTGTTGACCATAATTCAAAAAATAAGTTACCATAGGGAACATATTGTAACTAGGTATGGATAATTTTATCTTTGTTTCTTTCTCTTTGTGAGACAATTCGGGTCTATAGAAAAGTCAGTCTTATTTTAGAGTGCAAAAATTTGGAAAGACGTTGTTAATAATAGATTACCAAGAGAAATAGGTAAAAGAAATTTCCATCCAAGATTTAAAAGTTGATCCAGTCTGAGTCTCGGTAAAGTCCATCTTGTTGTGATAGGAATGAACAAGAACAAATACGTTTTAACCAATGTAATAAAAATCCCGAGTGTTGTTTCACAGACTCTACCTACTTTGGTTAGTTCAAAAGGTAGAGGAAGTGATAGGTACGGAATAGAAATTTTCCAACCACCCAAGTAAAGAACTGTTACAAATAATGAAGAAACTAATAAATTTAGATAGGAAACAATAAAAAATAAACCAAATTTGATGCCCGAATATTCCGTTTGATAACCCGCTACTAATTCTTCTTCTGCTTCTGGTAAATCAAAGGGCAATCTTTCGCATTCTGCTAAGGAAGAAATAAAAAAGATGATAAAACCTATAGGTTGACGCCACAAATTCCACCCCCAAAAACCATATTTTGATTGTGCTTCAACTATATCAACTGTACTTAAACTGTTAGATAATCCTAGTAGGTGATAACATCACTGTTCTCAGCGCTAGTCCAGAACCGTACATGAGATTTTCACTTCATACGGCTCCTCTAAAGCCATAAAAAATCAAAAGAACCGATTGTATTAGTTGTCTTGAGATATGTGTAGGATAAAGAGGATAAAAGGGATCGGGCATCTTGAAATTCGACCCATGAAATTCTGTCTGTGATAATACTAAAAAACAAAGACTTCTGAATTTATCTTATCCTTTAAAAATTAAAAATGATAATTTTATTTGGTGAGCAATAGTGTAAATCCTTCAATAAAAGAATACTTATATCTTCAATAAATATCTTGAATAAAAGATTACTCAAAAAAAAAAAAAAATAAGAAAAAAAAGAAAAAGTCACAACATTCTTTGTTTTGTAAAAATGGAAAACTACCAATAGCTATTTCAACTTTTGATTTTTGATTACAAAGAAGAATTAGACATTTTCAATTTAAATAGTTTAGCCATTATGACACATACTTGATTTCTATTAATATAACTAGAGTAAAGTGAATAAATAGTAATGAAAGAAACAAAAAAGGGATCTCTGTTTTTCTTTTTTTATCATTATAATTTCGAGTTTTTTCATCCTCTTGATCTTTCGCAAAAAAGGAGAGATACTTGACATAAAAAAGAAAGGATTCTTTCGTTTTGGATAATCATTTTCGTAATTGGCGGGTAGGGCAAAACTCTGGATCGGAATCATGAGGAGTACTGACTGCTCATTTCTACCAAATTAAAGCCTCAATTTTCAAATTCTATTCTAGTATTTTCATTTCATATAATGAGAAATACCCCTTCCCTTGGAGAATTTTGATAATCTCTATTACAAATCCTTTGTGTATCTTTGTGTTCCTAGCCATCCACTCATTTTTTTAATCACCAAGTAGCATTCTTTTAATGGCTATAACTGATAGCGAAAAGGCCCTCCCGTTGATCTTTTTGACCCGCTTTCAAGACAGGATGATGAATCAACTATTCTTGGGGAAACTTATTATATCTTTTGTATTTTTATTTCTACTTGACTCTTGTACATAGGAAGGAAGTCTCATTTATATTACTGCAAATTTGTAAGCGGTTTTCTTTCACTCATATAACTATCCAATTGCCTTCATCAATGCAAATGATGAAGAAAAAACTAACAATATCTATTCAATTCACGTTCTTCCTATCATTTCACCTTCTTGCTATTCTTGCTAAATAAAAAAGCTTTCGAAATATAAATAAATAAATATACTAAATATAAATATATGAACTAGACATAAGAAAAAAAATCACTAAACGAATAAAGAAAAAAATCGAACTAAGAAAAAGAACGGAATAGAGCTAAGTTTCTGTTTCAACGAAGCGCACGTAGAGATATAGATAATACACATAGAGTTAATGGTATTTCATAACTAATTGATTGAGCAACAGCTCGTAGACCACCTAAAAAGGAATATTTATTATTTGATCCATATCCAGACATAAGAAGCCCAATGGGAGCAATACTTGAAATGGAAATCCATAAAAAAATACCAATATTGAGATCAGCTAAAATAAGAGGATAGCTAAAAGGAATTATTGAATAGCTTAATAGAGTTGATATAACTGCTATAGACGGCCCGAGACTAAATAAACGAGTATTCCCTCTGGATGGCAAAAGATTTTCCTTGAAAAGCAATTTTGTCCCGTCCGCTAGAGCTTGAAGAACTCCCAAAGGACCCGCATATTCCGGCCCAATACGTTGTTGCAATCCGGCAGAGATTTCTCTTTCTAACCACACAATTACTAAGACACTTATTGTGATTACGATTACAAGAGTAAAAATCGGAAAAAGCATCCCTAAAATTCCATAGATCTCGTTTAAAGAGCAAAATCTGGAAAAAGAATATATAGCTTCTACTTCTGTTGTTTCAAGTATGCCTCTCATATCCATTATCATTTTAACGATCAACTTCTCCCATAATGATATCTATGCTCCCTAGAATTGTCATAATATCGGCCAATTTCATTCTTTTAACTAATTGGGGAAGAATTTGTAAATTGATAAAACCTGGTGGACGAATTTTCCACCTCCAAGGAAAAACGTTCTGATCACCTATCAGAAAGATTCCCAATTCGCCCTTTGGAGCTTCGACTCTCACATAAAGTTCTTGTTGCGGCAATTCAAAAGTAGGAGAAGCTTTTTTACTACTGAATCGATATTCAAAATCGTTCCATGTGGGATCCCTTTGTCTATCAAGAGATCGGGTTTCTAAATTTTCATAAGGTCCACCGGGAATTCCCTCCAGAGCTTGTTCAATAATTTTGATAGATTCTGCCATTTCACCAATTCGAACTAAATAACGAGCTAATGAATCTCCTTCTTTTTGCCAATGAACTTCCCAATCAAATTCATCGTACGATTCATAATGATCAATTATACGAAGATCCCATTGTACTCCAGAAGCTCGTAGGACCGGACCAGATAACCCCCAATTTAGTGCTTCTTTTGCATCAATAATACCTATTCCTTCTACTCGTTCTAAAAAAATAGGATTTTTCATAATAAGTTTGTGATATTCATCAATTCCTTTAAAAAAACAATCACAGAAATCCAAGCATTTATCTATCCATCCATGAGGTAGATCAGTTGCTACTCCTCCGATACGAAAAAAATTATGCATCATTCTCATACCAGTGGCTGCTTCGAATAAATCATATACTAACTCTCTTTCTCTAAAAATATAGAAGAAAGGGGTCTGTGCGCCAATATCGGCCATAAAAGGACCAAGCCATAAAAGATGAGAAGCTAGACGACTCAATTCCAACATAATTACTCTGATATAGCTGGCTCTTTTCGGGACTTGAAAATTTCCCAATTGTTCTGGCCCATTTACAGTTATTGCTTCTGTGAACATAGTTGCTAAATAATCCCAACGTGTTACATAAGGTAAATATTGTATAATTGTTCTGTTTTCCGCAATTTTTTCCATTCCTCTGTGTAAATAACCTAATATGGGTTCACAATCAATAACATCTTCACCATCTAGAGTAAGAATGAGTCGAAGAACACCATGCATGGAGGGGTGGTGGGGGCCCATATTGACTATCATAAGGCCCTCTTTTGTGGCTGGTACATTCATAGGGGTTCCTCGATTCATTGGTTCGTGAATTATTGAAAACGCAAAAAAGGTTCGCAAAATTACAAATCTTATAAATCAAATAATAAGATTAAAAAAGACTCTTCAATTTAACTCATTTTTCACTCCCGAATATCCAATTGACTAATAAATTCTTTATTAGTTACTTTACTTTTTTTTAACAAATAAGAACAAAGCCTTTGGCGTTTTCCTAGAATTTTTCGTAAACCTCTTTCGGCTAAATAGTCTTTTTTATGCACTTGCAAATGCAAACTAACTTTTTTTAGTTTCTTAGTTAAACTTATTATTTGAAATTCAAGCGATCCCCTCTTTGCTTCTTTTTCTTCTTGTAAAGTATCTGATATGAATGCATTATTTCTCATAAACTCAATTCCTATAACTAACTCAATTTTTTTAATCCTTTTTTTTGATCAGTAAAAAGAATGCTTCCTCACATTTGAAATAATAATATTTTTTTTATGGAATGTACATATCAATATTTATGGATCATCCCTTTTATTACACTCCCAGTCACTATCTTCATAGGAGGGGGGCTTCTCCTTTTTCCGAAGGCAACAAAAAAACTTCGTCGTAGATGGGCTTTTCCGAATGTTTTAGTGTTAAGTATAGTTATGGTTTTTTCGACCGGTCTTTTTATTCACCAAATAAATAGCAGTTCTATCTATCACTATGTATGGTCATGGACTATCAATAATGATTTTTCTTTAGAGTTTGGACTCTTCATTGACTCACTTTCTTCTATTTTATCAATATTAATTAGTACAGTAGGAATTCTCGTTCTTTTTTATAGTGACAATTATATGTCTCATGATCAAGGCTATTTGAGATTTTTTACTTACATGAGTTTTTTCAATACTTCAATGTTGGGGTTGGTTACTAGTTCTAATTTGATACAAATTTATATTTTTTGGGAATTGGTTGGAATGTGTTCTTATCTATTAATAGGTTTTTGGTTTACGCGACCTATTGCATCAAATGCTTGTCAAAAAGCATTTGTAACTAATCGTGTAGGGGATTTTGGCTTATTATTAGGCATCTTAGGTCTTTATTGGCTAACGGGTAGTTTCGAATTTCTGGATTTGTTCGCACTAGTCACAAACTTTATTTATAACAACGAGGTTAATCTTTCATTTGTTTTTTTATGTACTATTCTAGTAGTTTCTGGTGCTCTTACTAAATCAGCGCAATTCCCTCTTCATATCTGGTTACCAGATGCCATGGAAGGGCCTACTCCTATTTCGGCTTTGATACATGCAGCTACTATGGTAGCTGCTGGAATTTTTCTTGTAGCTCGACTTTTTCCTCTTTTGAAAGTTCTACCTTACCTGATGAATCTAATCGCTTTGATAGGTATAATAACAGTACTTTTAGGAGCTACTTTAGCTCTTGCTCAAAAAGATATTAAGAGAAGTTTGGCTTATTCTACAATGTCTCAATTGGGTTATATGATGTTAGCTCTTGGTATGGGCTCTTATCGAACTGCTTTATTTCATTTGATTACTCATGCCTATTCAAAAGCATTGTTGTTTTTAGGGTCAGGATCTATTATTCATTCAATGGAAGCTCTTGTTGGTTATTCTCCAGCTAAGAGTCAAAATATGAGTCTGATGGGTGGTTTAATAAAACATCTTCCAATTACAAGAACGGCTTTTTTATTAGGAACCCTTTCCCTTTGTGGTATTCCCCCTCTCGCCTGTTTTTGGTCAAAAGATGAAATTCTTAATGCTAGTTGGGTCTATTCGCCTATTTTTGCCCTCATAGCTTATTTCACAGCAGGATTAACTGCATTTTATATGTTGCGAGTTTATTTACTTACTTTTGAAGGACATTTCAATGTTCATTTTCAAAATTACAGCGGAAAAACAAATAGCTTCTTCTATTCAATATCTTTATGGGGTAAAGAAGAAAAAAAAATGCTAAAAAAAAGGACTTTAGTCGCTTTATTAATAATGAATAATAATCAAGGGGACTCGTTTTTTCCCAGGAAAGCATCTCAAATTGATGGGAGTGTAATAAATAGGATTCGACCTCTTATTACTATTCCTTTTTTTCGCACTAAAAGTATTGTCTCCTATCCATACGAATCGGACAATACTATGTTATTTCCTATCCTTGTTTTGGTACTATTTACTTTGTTTATAGGGGTTATAGGAATTCCTATGAATCAATTCAAAGGAATTCCATTGGATATATTATCTAAACTATTCATTCCGTCTTTAAACCTTTTGCATCAAAGCTCAAAAAAGGATTTTCATTGGTATGAATTTTTAATCAATTCTACTTTTTCAGTCCTTATTTCTTTTTTTGCAATATTTATAGCATGCTCGTTATATCATCCTATTTATTCATCTTTACAAAATTTCAAAATTTTTAATTTACTTGCTAAAAAAGGTACTAAGAGACCTATTAGCGACAAAATAATAACTGTCGTATATCATTGGTCTACTAATCGGGGTTATATAGATGCTTTTTATGCAATGTCTTTAATTAAAGGTATAAGAGGATTCGCTAAAATATTTTCTTTTTTTGATAGACGACTAATTGATGGAATTATTAACGGAGTTGGTGCTGGCAGTTTTGTTTTTGTCGAAGGTTTGAAATATCTAGGCGGAGGCCGCATTTCTTCTTATCTATTCTTGTTTTTATTTTATTTATTCATTTTTTTAATTAAGTATATACACTTTTTTTAATTATATCAATTAGTATTATTGCCGTTTTCTTATTTAGTGAAACTAAATAAGAAAACGGTAGGAATACCAAAAATGAAGAAAGAAAAGAATTAATAAATAAAAAAAATATCGATTTTTTATAAATGCCTTTCCTTAAAGATTTCAGATTTCCTCGATCAATACCGTGGAAATAATCCATTACAAACTTTCACCCCTTCCTTGTTGAATTTTTGACCATTCCTTAGGATACAGTCGGATTTCAATAGGCGGCTGAAACTCAGCCTTTAGGGATAGAACCCCTTGAGAAAACGAATCCTTGGAGGTCCCTATCTTTCTTGGGTCGAAGTTTGATGGATCTTGAGATTTTTTTATCCTATAATGATAAGTTGTAGGATAGTATATATCGAAGAACTTCTCCTTCTCCCATGGGAAAAGGAGAGTGTCACCCAAAGAAAACCAGGACCCGTAGCGGGGGGACGGCGGGAGATTCGAAACCCAATATACAATTTCCATAAAATCATTCGCGAAATCTATATCCTGAGTTACTCCTGTCCGTTCAATTCGTTTTTTTCGTATTTCTTCTAAAAAGTCCAAAAAGTCGGTCCTTACTTCTTGGAAAAAGGATCTAGGATTTTCTTTTTGGTTAATCCTTTCGCTTTCGACATAGCTAGAGGTGATAATTTTTGCTTCAGGTTGTTGCAAGTGCTCGACAGTACCGATTTTATGAGCATCCTCTGATTCCCGTTCATCATTTAAACGGGTTGAGTGAATGCAGACTTTCCCTTCTCCAATCAACGAACACTTCCAACCCCCGCTGACGACTCTGAAGGATACGAAGAGGCATCCCCCAGCTATAAAAAGAATACAGCTCATCATAAATTTCTGTTTCTTTTGCCTAGTAATAGGGGCAATAAAGTCCCTTAAGGCATTCAATTTATGCTTTATCCATTTAAATACTGATTGAAACATCTGAAAGTCCTCCATTTTTTGTTTTCCAATAGATAGAATAGAATAACCCGAGTGCTGTCTAACTTTGCAACCTGACTCGTACTTGTCTATTTTTATTGCATTTCCTCGTACTTGTCTATTTTTATTGCATTTCATAATATCAATCAAGAAATGCATTGTTGCCTCTATTGCTATTTTATAGATAATTTAATGTCTATTTCAATGTTTTCCCAACTCATTATTCCTGATTGACGAAATCGTTAAATATCAACATTTAAATATCCAAATACCAATTTGATATTCAAAAACCAAAGCCGATCTGTATCTAACTTTTCTAACTCTCGAGCAAGATGTGTAGGTGAAGGACCTTGTAGGATCTCAAAAGGTAAAACAACCGGTTCTTCTGTAAAAAAAGGTTCCCAAAAATCCGAACCTAGTTGTCTCGCTAAAGTGTGTAGATTGGTTTTGTGTTTATGAGCAAAGGTTTTCAGACAAGAAAATCGAAGTATATATTTTATTCGATACAAACTCTTTTTGTCTGAGGATCCACTAAAATACTGAGAAAGGTCTCCGCATATACAAAAAAATCGGTCAATAAGATCCGAATCCGATGGATCGGCCCAGGGCGGTTTACTAAGAGGATGTCCTATTTTATTACAAAAATTCATTTTTGTCAAGGCTTGAATCAAAGGATTAAGTGGAACTATTGTATCCAGTTTCTTCATCGTATTCTCTGTTAGAAATGAATGTTCTAGCATTTGACTTCGTATCGCTGAAGGAGTGAATTCTACATTTACAAGATAACCCAAAAAGTCGAGAGAAGACTCATCTACTAGATATATATAGATCTTTTTTGGTTGAACCCACACAAAAAAATGACATTGAAATAAATTAACAAAGTAGTATTTCCACTTTTTCATTATAAGTGGCGTACTCCTTAAAGCAAAAAAGAATTGTCTTTTAAACCGAACATAATGCATGTGAGGGTCCTTGAACAACTGTATATTAACTTGAAAACTATTAGCAAAAACGTATCTAAACTTCTTAGCAAAAACTTCTGTAAAATTATCTACTTTTCCATAGAAATAGATTCGCTCAAAAAGAACCCGAAAATGGTTGGATCGTAAATGCAAGAATTGGCTACGAAGAAAAAATAAAATGGATTCATATTCATATACAAGAGAATTAGATAAAAATAGAACGAATCTTAGATTCGTTTTTATTCTTTTTCTTTTTTGAAAAAAAGCACTTTTTTGCTTTGGAAAAAAAGGACTATTCCAATTCCAAGACTCGTGAAGAAAGAGTCGTAATAAA